TTCTACCTCAATACTCTCTCATAAATGAATCCTAATGGAGTTGAGAAAGTAAAAACCAGGAGTAAACACGAGAGATTCCCTGGCCCAAATATCTACTATTTCCTTGAGAATAGCAAGGTTCTTATTTATCAACTTAGAATCCAGTCAGCCTCACCAGAGCTCTGTCCACATTGACCAAACAGAATGATTCATGGAGCCAGCATCTCAAGTGTATGGCACCTTTTTTTTTCAAAGCAGATGTATTTGCGAGACATACATTTGCTGTTTTCATTCTGAAAAGCTGTACTTGTCTGAAGCTTCACTTGTTAAAGCATGCTATGTGCCTAAATAAATGTAGTTTTCCTGCCCTTTATTAAAAAATGAAACCAGCATCTAACCCCAGACTCATTTGAGATTACAGCAGGGGAGTGCTGCCGATCTCAGGAGATCCCCAATGAACTGATTTCTATATACCTCTCCCCAAGGCCATGCCCACACCCATTTCATAATGGAAGTGCAATGACACCATCATGGAGCTCATAGCATGTAGATGCCTAATACCACCAGAAGCACACAGGAACCTGCTCCTCCTGAGTACCTGAATAAGAAGATACAGGTTGGGAAACAGCCAAGATAGCACTTGGGTAAAAACTCTGACCTGCTCCAGGCCTTGGACCCATGGGCCAAGCAGAAGAGATAGAAGGCCCTCCTCCCTAAGTATATCAGTTAGCTATTGCCAAAAAATAAAAAAATAATAAAAAATTTTTTAAAACTCTGCATTTAAAAAACACAAGTGTCAACATAAGAAACGTCCAAACCAGAGAATTTTTATAAGAGTCTATTTGAGCCAAACTGACAACATATCAGCATATGCCGGGGAGCAAGATCTCAAATGCTCCAGAGAATAACAGTTTTGCAATTTCTTTTATGCATTTCAAATTAAGGAAAGAATGTAAGACATTATATGAAGGGGGAGAAAGCAAGGTGGGGATTGGATTACAGGATAGTTATCAATATTGTGTGTTCTCTTGAGGATATTTATGGTCTATTTTAAAGACAGTTAACCTAGGTACATAAAAACAATGGACATTGCTTAAGGCAAAGACAATCTTTTTACTAAATAGGTTATATTCCTGGGGCATGACTACCCACCATGACCCGCCCCATTAGAAACTTATGATCAGATCACCCTGTGAGGTTACTTTCCACAGAACCTCTTTTTTCGTCCAAGCATACTCAGTGGCCTAAAATAACAATGATGTATTCTTACTGATCTTATTTATTTAGTTCAGCTGATCTAAACTGGGTTCGGCTGGGGCGACTTGGCTATTCTCCACATTTCTCTCATTATTCTCTTGGGATCATCAGGCTAGTTCAGGCATGTTCTGATGGTGATGGCAAAGACACAAGGTCTCTTGATGTCAAAGTTTGGAGATGGTACACCAGCATATCTACCTCACTACTTTTATCATGGAAAAATGAATACACATAACATAAAATTTACTATTTTAACCATTTTAAGTGTACTGTTCAGTGGCATCAATTATATTCATGTTGTGCAACATAAAAGCTTTACATCTCCAGAATTTTTTCATCATCTCAAACTGAAACTCTGAGCCCATATAATAATAATTCTCCATTTCCTCCATCCCCCAGCCCCTGGTAATCACTGTTCTACTTTCTGCTTCTATGAATTTGACTACACTAGGAAACTCATATAAGTGGAATCATACAATATTTGTCCTTTTGTTTCTGGCTTCTTCAACTTAATATTTTCAAGGTTCATCCATATTGTCACATGTATCAGCATCCCTTTTTAAGGCTAAATATTTCATAATACATATGCACCACATTTTGTTTATCTTTCCATCCATTGTCGAACATTTGGGTTGTTTCCATCTTTTAGCTGTCATGAATACTAATATGAACATTGGTGTACAAATACCTGTTCAAGTCCCTGCTTTCAATTCTTTTGGGTATATATCCAGAAGTAGATCATATCATAAATCTATGTTTAATATCTTGAGGAACTGTCATATTGCTTTCCACATTGGCTCTACCATTTTACATTCCTACCAGCAATGCACAAGGGTTCTAATTTATATCTTTACCAACACTTGTTTTGTTCTTTTAATAACCATCCTAATGAGTGATAAGTGGTATCTCATGATTATGATTTGAATTTATATAACAGTTGGTGATATTGAGCATTTTTTCATGTGCTTATTGGCCATTTGTATATCTTTGGAGAAAGACTATTCAAGGTTTTTAAATTTAGTTATGATTATTGTTGAGTTGCAGGAGTTCTTTATATATTCTGGATTTTTTTTTTAAATGCCTACAGTACCTGGTATTCCTAGGTGGTCTCCCACCCAAGTACTAATCAGGCCCGACCTTGCTTAGCTTCCCAGATCAGACTCGACTTACACTTCAGTACTCTAGTTAGTACCTATATTCTGGATATTGCTCCCTTATCAGATATGTGATTTGCAAATATTCTCTCCCATTCTGTAGGTTGCCTTTACAATCTGTTGATAGTGTCCTTTGCACAAAAACTTTCAATTTTGATGATCTCCAGTTTGTCCAATTTTTTTTGTTGCCTGTGCTTTTAGTGTCTGATCTAAGAAATCATTGCCAAATCTAATATTGTGAAGCTTTTCCCTAAGATTTTTATACTTTTAACTCTTAGGTTTAGGTGTTTGACCCCTAAAATAATTTTAATATATGGCATAAAGTAAGGATCCAACATTTTTTTTCACATGTGGCTATCCAGTTTTCCCAGCACCATTTGTTGAAAAGATTGTTCTTTTCTCAGTTGAATAATCTTGTCACCCATGTTGAAAGTCATTTGACCATATATGCAAGAGTTTATTTCTGGAGTCTCTATCCAATTAGTCTGTATGTCTGTCTTTATGCCAGTACCATACTGTTTCAATTACTGTGGATTTAATAAGTTTTAAAATCAGAAAGTGTAAGCTCTTCAACATTGTTCTTTTTTTTTTTTTTTCCCAAAATCGTTTTGGTTATTTGGGGTCTCAAGATTTTATATGAATTTTAAGATAGGTTTTTCTATTTCTGCAAAAGAACATCATTGGGATTTTGATAGGCATTGCATTGAATCTGTAGTTCACTTTGGGGAGTATTAACATCTTAACAATGTTAAGTCTTCTGATCACGAACATGAGGTATCTTCCCATTTATTTATGTTTTAATATCTTTTAGCAATGTTTTATAGTTTTCAGTGTACAAGTTTTTCCCTCCTTAGTTAAATTTATTATTAAGTATTTTATTCTTTTTGATGCTACTGTAAGTGGAATTGTTTTCTTAATTTTTCTTTCAGATTGTTCATCATTAGTGTAACCTCTGACTCATTTTATTGGCCCAAGTTATCACATGGCCAAAGTCAGGAAGGAGGTGGAGAAGTATAGCCCACCTATCATAGGGGGGCACTGCAAAGTTACATGGCAAATTGAGTCAATACAGGGAAGACTGAAGAGTTGGATTCCATAACACTATATCCCACACTGAGCTTCCCAGGCAGATTTTAGCATTATTTTTCTAGGGTCCTTCTTCAAAGTAGTCTGCTCCAACCCAGTCAAGCTACACGATTACAGTGAAAATGTGTCTGTGTAGGGGGGAGGGCAAAGATATGAAAGGAATGAACAGACAAAGGAAGTAGGAAACAAGGTACCTAGGTAAATTGCTGGTACCCAGATGAACTAATGGGTATGGATATAAGAACACAAGGCAAAGAATAAAAAGGCATGCTCATTGATCTTGGGAAGGTCTCTTAATATCTCTGAGCCTCAGTTTCTTCCTCTGGCAGTGGGCTAGATGATCCCTAAGGGCCCTTCCTGTGTTGACTCTGCATACTATTCCAGTTCTAACAGTGCTGCCCCAGAATAGAAAACAAGCCAACATTGGAAAATCCCTTCTCTTTACAGACCCATAAGCATACATATCCATGCAGGTGGCCATCTGTGTGTCTCATAGATGTCATCATTTACATTGCATTTTATTAATGTGCTTTTTTAAAAAATTCTATACCATGTGGGAATTCTTTGTAAGAGAAAAAATAGTCTTAACTATCTTAACAATCCCCAGAACAGTAGTCACCAAATAGATTTTTAAAACTGAACTGAGGGAAAACCTCCAGTATCTTTAATATTTAATGATTTATCATGTGCTCTAAACTTCCAAATAAATTTTCTATAGAAGCTTAGTTGCTGGGGACACACAGAAAATTCAGCAAGTATTTCAAATTTAAAGAAAATGAGTTTTCTCTCATAACTGCAATCAGTTTATTTTACTAATTCTATGCTACAGAATATTTAGTAGATATGATACCTCATTTTAATATTTTGGAATTTTAATGTATTGAAATATGTTCAACGACCATGTAAAAAAGTGTAATATTGTACATGTCCAATGCAAGCTTGGAAAGAGCTGTCAGAAGGCCAAGATTCTTGACTTATAAAGAAATGAGATCAGTGTTTAAAATTGTTTTCCTAGTCTCTGTTGAAAAATTTTGGCTTGAAAATCATATAAAGAGTAAAATGAAGGCAGATATTAGGCCTTTACCAATTACAGTTTGATTCTTAACTATTACTATATAGTATATATTTTTTCCAACTCACTGCATTTGAAGTGATTTCTTTCCAAATAAAATCAGTGTAGGAACTAATTAACTTGAAAAAAAAAAAGTTCAATGAATGAATATTAATTGCTTTATTTTTTTAAAGTTAGTACAGGGATATAGATAGCAATAGGCACTTTGCATCTTCCAATAATTTTTACTTATTATCGAATGAATAATAGTCACTCTCCCAGAATCCTGGAGAATAAAATCAGAGACCACCTAGGAATACCAGGTGCTGTAAAAAAAAAAAAAAAAAAAAAATGCCATGGGGAGGGCCATATTGTACATATGGCCTATAGAGCCACAGAGACTCTAAAACAACTCATCAGGAATGTGTCCTTTTGGGGTTTATCAATAGCTTGCCTCTCCTTTCCTCTTCTAGGCTGCCCCATCAAAGGTCACCCAACCCCCAATATCACCTGGTTCCATGGTGGTCAGTCAGTTGCCACTGTCACAGAATTGACACATCATATCTTGGCAGCTGGACAGATTCTCCAGGTTGCAAATCTTAGTGGCAAGTCTCAAGGGGAATTCAGCTGCCTTGCTCAGAATGAGGCAGGAGTGCTCGTGCAGAAGGCCTCTCTTATAATCCAAGGTAAGAAACCCTTTGGGTTTTCGATGCTGGGCTTATTTCTTGAACAAGAGAGTCCACCTGGGAATCTAATTCTCTGGTAGACAAGGTGATTTTTTTTATCTCCAGTGGTTCCTAGAGCATGAAAAGTGAAACTGAACCATGTTTTCATACAATGAGGCCCTTCAGAAGAGCCATCAGGCCCCGCTCCAGCATAACCTGGAAATATCAGTGCTGCTTTCATAAATGGGCCCTTCTGCTTATATCATTGCTGCAGCTCAGGACCAAGGAAACATCACCATATAGCAAGGTCAAATGTGTTTCCTTTGTGCTGGGTTAACTAGTAAAAAATACACACACACACACACACACACACACACACACACACACACACACGCACACACACACCTGGTAAAAAAATATATATATACAAATTTTCTCTCTTGGTTTAGTTCCAAAATATCTCTTGATCTAAACTGCTTGGTTATTGCTGCCTGCCCTGGAGAGTCAGGGCTGGTGTCAGTACCTGCAAGATTCCTGAAGAGTCTTCTGCCGCAGTCACGTGCTGGGTGCTTTCCAGGCAGCTTTCCTGTGGCCCTTTCAGAGGACAGACTGAGAAGCCTGTGTGGCTGGTATATTAACCTTCCAGGAACATGTGCCGGTCAGAAAGCCCTTGAGCAGAGCTTGGCAATTGCTGGACCAAGTTATGAATAAGCCCAAAACCGGCTTATTCAGTGTGAGAGGAGCCAAAACCGGCCTTGTTATAGAAACTAAGTGAGGCTTCTGAGTTTTCCCTAGGCTGGTTCTACCTGTGGCCTTTGTGTGAGCTTTAGGGAAAGCAAAATCCATATTCTATATGGAGGATTCTGTGGTAAAGGACAGACTTTTGTGCCAAAGTAGCACATAAAAGGGAGATTTCCAAGCACATGGGTTTTCCCTTAAATATCCTTCCCTGCCATTTGGCTTTCCAGACAGGAAAGTAAATGTTCCATTTTCTTGCCAGCCAGCCAGCCAGCCATTCTCTGCTGAAAACCAGAAGCCAGTGCCTATCTGCAGGATTTGTAATATACAGCTTTGCAACTAAGCACTCACAATTTATCAACCCACGGTTATTTTTAACAGCTTTCCTACCAGTGAGTCCCAGGCCCCCAGATAGAAAATCCAAAGAAATTGCTTTTCTCAGACATCAGTACATGCTATCTCACGTAAATGAGTACTCTCAGAATAGGGTGGGGGTTTTTTACTAATATCTACAAAGTCTAATTTAAATCTGCACTTTTAAATATAATTAAGTATTTCTGATATTTTTATATCTTTGTTGAAAAATAAAGTCACTTTCTGATAAGCCAGTAGAAAAAAAAAAATAAGAGCACTTTCAGGAGTATGTTTAAAAACAGTAAGAGCTATAGCAACTGATTAAGTACTCTCTCTCTGTGCCAGGCACTGGGCTAGGTTCTTGACCTTTATTATATCCAGGCCTCACAATAACTTGATAAGTAATAACTAACATGCTCATTTTGTAGTGAGTTAGCTGAGGCCTCTGGAGACCACACGACTTGTCTTGATAGACCAGGAACAGAGACCACTGAGGGGCAGAGGCTAATTCATAACACCCACACACCCGCCTCCTCCCTCAGTGCCCTGCTCAGAAGGAATACAGAGCATGGGGAATAATACTCTGCTTCTCACCTCTGATCCTCCTCCTGTGACAGATTACTGGTGGTCTGTGGACAGACTGGCAACCTGTTCGGCCTCCTGTGGTAACAGGGGTGTTCAGCAGCCCCGCCTGAGGTGTCTCCTGAATGGCTCAGAGGTCAACCCTGCTCACTGTGCAGGGAAGATTCGCCCTGCTGTTCAGCCCGTCGCCTGCAACCGGAGAGACTGCCCTTCTCGGTAAGTGTGGCCGAGGCTGGTTCGGGCCTCCCCACTCGCAAGCATGGGCCCTGACTTTTAGCCAGTTGGTGGCCAGCCCTTGTCTAGACTGTGCAGAGAGAGATGCCAAGTGCAGGTCAGGGGGCCTGCCCTCCAAGGAACTGTTCTCTTCTACAGGCACAGGCTTGTCAGGCCTCTACGCCCTGCAGAAAACATCCCTCAGAATGAGCCTTCTCCCTCAGTCCTTTTGTTCCCTCAACTCTCAGCAAGCTAAGGGCTGCCTGGACATCCCTAGTGCCTGAAAGGCTCTGTTTAGGGAGCAGGAGCATCCCAGGCACTGGCAAGAGATAGCTCCCATTCTGCAGTAAGAAACTGACTCTCTGTAAGAGAATAAATGTGTTTGCAGCTGAAGTGCTGAGGGGAAGGATATTGCTGGCCTCTACCCTAACCCCATCCCTGTCTCCTAAGTTAAAATACCTGTGCTAATCAGTACTCCAGTTTACCTGAAGAAATCGTATCCTCTTCTTTTCCACAAAGAGTGGCAACCTGCTAACGTTGAAATGTCGCCATTTCCTATAGTTGCCTCAATGTTAAATATACACTCTGCATTTGAGTCCCTTATAGAGCCAGACTCACACCCACAGTCTCTGCCTGTCACATCTTCCTCCAGCTTTGAGAAGCTGTGAGTCCCACTAAGCACGCCCACTGCAGTGCTCAGGCAGTAGCCAGAGGGATAATTAATGGGCTTAGAATTGGCACCACCATGGCGCCCTGAGTCTTGGGGGACTTGGCTGGGCCATGTAATACCCCTTTCTACCTATGTAGGACTTTCATACACTACTTCGGCAACCACTTTGTGTTTTGCCAGCTGAGTCATAAGGAGCAGCTGAAACCAGAAGAGACTCAATGAAATATGAAACACACTCATTAATATCAGCAGTTTGACTTGCTGACAGGAAGGTTTCCACGGGAATGATTAATGTCCTTTTATACCCTTCCTGAACTGTAACATAGCCCATGTCTCCCCTCTCTCAAACCCTGCACCCAGCTCCTGAAAAATTGCTGAAATGTATATTTGGAAATAAAAGTTGATTGAAATGCAGGCCTGACACTCACCAGGGATATGAGAGACTGGAAGACTGCCCTTGCCAAGCCGTGTGAAATGAAGAAGAGGTCTTGGACATGCCAGGAACTTTTTGATTTGCTGTGGTGATGGTCAGAGTCAATCAGCCTCATTTACGTCTGCAAACGAAATAATGGCTGTGTCTGCTTTGGTTTCAATGCCCCCAGGATCCTTCAAAAACCTCACGCCTGCTTCTTAAGTGGCCCTGCTCCTGTGGGTTGGAATTCTGCACACAGTCCTCTCTCCATGCAAATAGCGCAGGGAAGTTGCACCAAACTAAATCAGTCACAGATCCAGATGCAGGAGGAATTTGCTCTCTGTTCCTGTACATGCCTCTCCTGAGAGCCAGATGTGACACCACTGGATGAGGAGGTGGCCACAGGTTCACCTTTGACTGGTTTCCCCACCAGGCTTTTGGGGCACTTCAGCAGCTTTTGCACACAAAAGTGTTGCCCTGGTCATCTTTTTGAAAAGCTGTAGGAAGTCCCGCTTTGACCCAGATAGGACCATTTCATTTAGATAAATTTTTTCTCAGACAATAAAACCAGAGAATTTTTTTTTTCTAGATTGAGTGAAATAGCTGTACAGCACCAAGTCTTTTAGTACTATTTCCCCAAAAATGTCCCCCTCCCCCTCCTCTTTGAACCATCCCAGGGTACAGACATGCAAAGAAAACCCCTACATGTTTGTATATGGACCAAGGATTTCAGATGACAGCTCGGTTTTTGAGAAAAGCCATTTGTCACTCTCTTGGTCAGTCTCACTTCCAAGGATCCAAAGTGTAGTTGGAACCTAACATTCTGAGAACAACTACTTTCAGCCCATGGTATAAGATCTATGGTCTGTACTCATGGAGGTAGAAAGTTGCTCCAGAAAGCTAGAAGAACTTGTACGTGTTCCTGAGAGATTAAACAAAATCAAATGAGACATGGGTTAAGGCAAAGTAGAGTGAGTACTAGCAGACAAAATGTTAGCCAAAGTGAGACGCAGAGTGCCTCCTGGGTCAGGAGGTGACACAGGCTGGGATCTGTCGTCTCTTCTCTACCACACAGTTGGGTGCCATTAGGAACTGCTAGAACCTCAGTGCAGTGCAGCTAGCTCAAGGACTATTTCTCCATCGCCTGCAAGCCCATGGCTTCTGAGGCCAATGTCAAGCGGAGGCAACTGATCTTCAGAATATTCTTTCAAGACACACCTTTTTAATCAATTTGTTTCCTGTGGCCGCTGTAACAAATTACCACAAACATGGCAGCTTAAAACAATAGAAATGTATTCTCTCACAGATTTAGAGCCCAGAAGTTCAAAATCGAGGTGTCAGCAGGGCTGCACCCCTTCCAAAGGCTCTAAGGGAGAATCTGTTCCTTGGCCCTTGCAGCTTTTGATGGCTCTGAGCATCCCTTGGCTTGCGACCACATCACTCTATCTTCTGCTTCTCTGGTCACACTGTCTCCTCCTCTTCTATGTCAAATCACCCTTTGCTGTTCTCTTATAAGGATATTTGAGATGACATTTAAGACCTACCTAGACAATGTACAATAATCTCATCTCAAAATCCTTAGTTATATCTGCAAAAACCCTCTGTCCAAATAAAGTAACATTCACAGGCTCCAGGGATTTGATGTAGATTTCTTTTGAGGGGCCATTTTCAGCCTTCTACCCCAAGTATCTACTGAGAAAAGGGCTATGGCCCCCAAATTAGCAGCTGTGTGGTGAGAGCAAGGGGCTATGTGGGGCTCTTTTTCTGAGAACATACAGCGTCGTTCCTCTCCCCAAGACCTGACCCTTTGCAGCTGCCCTCATTTCTCTTCCTCTCCGCAGGTGGATGGTGACCTCCTGGTCAGCTTGTACCCGGAGCTGTGGGGGAGGCATTCAGACCCGCCGGGTGACCTGCCAGAAGTTGAAAGCCTCTGGAATCTCCACTCCCGTGTCCAACGACATGTGCACACAGCTCACCAAACGGCCAGTAGACACTCAGGCCTGTAACCAACAGCTCTGTGTGGAATGGGCCTTCTCCAGCTGGGGCCAGGTGAGCGGGTTTTATTTGAAAGGTAAATCTAAAGGTACTGCCACAGGAGGAAAGTAAAATGCGGATCGTATGTGATCTGTCCTGGAATATGTTCCATGTGCACTTGAGAAAAATGTGTAATCTGCAGTTTTTGCATAAAATGCTCTATAAATGTCTGTTAAGTCAAACTGAAATAATACAGCATTTGAGGCCATTATTTCCTTGTTAATTTTCTGTCTGGATGATCTGTCCATTGAGGTAAGTGGAGTATTAAAGTGTCCAATTATTATTGTTCTTCTGTTCATTTCTGCCTTTATGTCCATTAACATTTGCTTTCTGTACTTGGGTGCTCCTATGTTGGATGCATAGGTATTTACAATTGTTATATCTTCTCCTTGGACTGACCCTTTAAAATTATGTGGTCTCTCTTTGTCTCTTTTTACAGTCTTTGTTTTAAAGTCTGTTTTGTCTGGTATGAGTATTGCTACCCAGCTTCCTTTTCATTTCTATTTGCATGGAATGTCTTTTTCCATCCCTTCACTTTCAGTCTATGAGTATCTTTCAATCTAAACTGAGTCTCTTGTAGGCAGCATATAGATAGGTCATGTTTTTTAATCCATTCTGCCACCCTGTGTCTTTTGATTGGAACATTTAGTCTATTTATATTTAAAGTAATTATTGTCAGATATGTGCTAGTTGCCATTTTATTGATTTTTGGTTGTTCTTGTTCTTCTCTTTCTTTCTTCTGCTCTTGATCTCTTTTGCTTTGTTGGTTTTCTTTAGGGTTTTGATTGGATTCCTTTCTCTTCATTTTTTTGAGTATTTTTCTATGTTTTTGGTTTATGGTTACCATGAGGTTCATATATATCCATCTATTGCAGTCTATTTTAAAATGATAGACATTTTAGTTCAATCCCATTCTAAAAGGACTACATTTTTATTCCCACCTCCACTCTTTATGTTTTTGACATCATGTTTTATATCTTTTTGTTTTGTGTATCCCGATTATTTATTGTATTTATAGTTAATTTTGCTATTGTTTTTTAACATTCATATTAGCTTTTTAAGTGCTTGATTCACTGTGATTATTTTACATTTGTCTTTAGCAGTAGATTCTTTTCTTTCATGTATTTTCTTATTTCTGGTTATGGTCTTTTCTTTTTTGAAAAAAGACGACCCTTTGACATTTCTTGGAAGGCTGATTTAGTTGATGTGAACTCCTTTAGTTTCTGTTTGTCTGGAAAACTCTCTCTCCTTCAGTTCTGAATGATGGCCTTGTCAGATATACAATTCTAGGTTGTAGATTCCTTTCTTTCAGCACTTTAAATATTTCCCGCTACTCCCTTCTGGCCTGAGAAATCAGCCGATAGCCTTACGGGGCTTCCCTTGTATGTGACTTATTCATTCATTCTTGCTGCCTTTAAGATGGTCTCTTTATCCTTAACTTTTGCCATTTTAATTAGACTATGTCTTGGTGTGGGTTTCTTGGGTTCATCTTGTTTGGAACTCTCTGTACTTCCTGGACCTGGATGTCCCCAAATTAGTAAAGTTTTCAGCCATTATTTCTTCAAATATTTTTTCCGCCCCTTTCTCTCTCTTTTTCTTGTTCTGGAATCCCTATAATGCAAATGTTAGAATGTTTGATGTTATCCCAGATATCTCTTATACGATCCTCATTTTTTTAAATTATTTTTCATTTTGCTCAGATTGGGTGATTTCCACCCTTCTGTCTTCCAAGTCATCAATCCATTCTTTTATATTAACTAATCTGTTGTCAATTCCTTCTAATGTATACTTAATTTCAGTTATGGCATTCTTCATCTCTGACTTATTACATTTTCGATCTCTTTGTTGAAGTGCTCTCTGAGTTCTCCGATTCTACTCTAAAGTTTGTTGAGCATCCTCATGACCATTTATTTGAATTCTTTATCAGGCATATTACTTATCCCTGTTATAATAGGGTTTTTCTCTGGAGTTTTTTCTTGTTTCTTCATTTGAGGCATATTCTTCTGTCTCTCCATTTTGTTTGACTTTCTGTATTTGTTCCTGAGTTGAAAAAGAGGTCTCTGCGTAGACTGTTGAATAGTTTTGACAGGCCAGTTGTAGTAGGGGCAGTCACATGCAGTGCCTGGTGTGACACCTGTTCTGAAAGAGTGGGTTCCTGGCAGCACAGCCTGGTGTGTGCATGCTTCCTTGCCCTTCTAATCCAGGTAGAGCTGTCTGGCGTTGGTGAGGCTGCTCAATGCACGCTTGGTGTGCCCTATTGCCTTGTTGTCAGAGCAGGGTCTGTATAGGGCTGATCTTTGTGCTTGCCTCACAATGCCCTACTAGCTCTGCCCTTCCTTCGGGTGGGACAGCCTTGTGTGCACACAAAGTCATACTTTGCTAGTTCTGCACTGTCGCTGGGAAGGGCAGCCCTGCATATGGGCACAGCATCGCCCATGTGTACTGCAAAGTTTTGCTATCTCTGCACTTTATTCAAGTGGAGCAGTCCCATGTATACATGCAGCAGTGTCCCACTATCTCCAGGATGGACAGCCCCATGTGAGCATACAGTAGCACCCCACTATCTCTGCACTTTCTCTGGACAGGGTAGCCCTGCTGGCAGGTACCACAGTGTTCTTCTAGTTCCACATGAAGCATCACCTTACCATACCTTCTAGATCAGTCTCAAGGTGGAGGGGCCTCTTGAATGAATGTTGTGGCGCCCTCCTGTTTCCACTGGATCTAATTCCAGGAGGGAGAAGCTACAGCATGTTTCAGGTCGGCCAGAGAACCCAGATGGAGCTCTCACCCATTATCTACATGCAGGGGAAACGTCAACAATGGCAGTCACCAGATCCCCTGGTTCTCAGTTGTTCCCTCAGCTTCCAGAGAATTCTCTCAGTTCCCCAGCCTTCTCTATGTGGTCTCTCTCGCTTGTTTGCAAAAACTGTTCAATTGGGTCACAGTTATCTCTTAGGAGGAATTTCTCTAAATATAGATAAATATTCAATGGGAGGGGGCGAACTCAGCATCCACCTACGCCACCATCTTGGACCCACTAGAATGTTTTAGAATACATGTGCTGTGTTACAAACCTAATGGAGACCTATTGAGCATTTAAGTGCCGCCTGCTAGGACTAATATTCAGCTAGTACCCACCAACTGTGTGGGAACAACCAATGTGGTTGCTGGGCTACTTGGGAGAATGACCATTCTGATTGGTCAGTTTCTGATTGGTTGGTGTCCGAACCATACCATTAAGCTTGGCCAACTGGGACACTCCAAAATAGCCACAAGGCTCTTAATTTTTTGTGTGTAACTGTACAAACTAATGCGACTGAATATTTTTGGGCAGTTAGCATCTCAAAACTTGTTGGAACTGACTATCTACACGTTGCTTCATTCATGTCCCTCCATCCCCGACCAAAAGTGTGTTCTTTGGAAAACAATCACTTGGAACTTCCTATCTAGTTAATGCACTGTGGCTACCTCTAATGAAGATCAAATGTTATTTGGGGGAAATGTGGCCACAGAATTCACTTGTAACGCATAAGCCATTTATGTCATGGGATAATGCTCAACATTGGCCAATCAACATATTTGGCCAGAGGCTTCTTTTTAGCACCTCTACCAACCCCCACTTATTTCCAGCGACCTAATGTATTTGCTTCATAATCAAAAAGGCATGAATTCCCCCTGGCCCACACACCTGGGCGATACCATCTTTCTCTTACCTGGAAAAGCCCACTTCTGATAGCTCTCATTTAACCCAAGGCAGCTCTGCTTTTAGGCCCTCAACTTATTGGCAGTTTGTGAAATTACAATTGGGAACAGGTCTGGCTACACAGGAGAGATGTTTCTGCACTGTATCATTGAGGTCACTCAAGGGGACATACAGTGCACATTGATCATTCTTAGTAATTTTTTTTTCTAAAAGAGAAAAATAGGTCTTTCTCTTTTCCTTCCTCTCAAACACTCCCATCCTATTTCTTTTAAAACCATCTAGGCAAGTATGTCTCAAGCTTTAATGTGAATCACCTGTGGATCTCGTTAACAATGCTAATTCTGATATGGCAGGTCTGGAGTAGAGCTTTGGATACTGACTATTTTACTGAGGTATAATCGACATGTAACATTAGTTTAAGATGTACAACATAATGTTTCAATATTTGTATACATTGTGGAATAATCATAGTAAGTCTAGTTAACATCTGTCACCATACATAGTTACAAAAAACTTATCTTCTGATGAGAACTTTTAAGATATCAGCAGCTTTCAAATATCCAATACGGTATTATTAACTATAGTTACCATGCCATACATTACATTTCTATGATGGATTTATTTTACAACTGGAAGTTTGTAATTGTTGACTCCCGTCACTGATTTTGCTCACCCCCAAACCCTCACCTCTGTACTCTGTTATCTATTTTGTTTTTTTGGGGTTGGTTTTTTTTGTTGTTGTTGTTTTAGATTCTACATATAATGGAGATCATACAGTAGTTGTCTCTGTCTGGCTTGTTTCACTTAGCATAATTCCCTCAAGGTCCATACAAGATGTTGCAAATGGCAAGATGTCATTCTTTTTTATGGCTGAGTAATATTCCTGTATGTGTGTCTATCACATTTTCTTTATCCATTAATTCATTGAAGGACACTTAGCTTGTTTCCATATCTTGGCTATTGTAAATAATGCTGCAATGAACGTGAGGGTGCAAAGATCTTTTTGAGTTAATGTTTTCAGTTTTTTTGAATAAATACCCAGAAGTGAAATTGCTGGATCATTTAGTAGTACTATATTAATATTTTGAAGAACCTCCATATTGTTCCCTATAGTGACTGCACCAATTTTCATTTCCACCAACAAGTTTCCTTTTCTCCATATCCTTTTTGCTAATAGCTACCTAACAGTATGGACAATATCTCATTGTAGATTTCATTTGCATTTCCTGATGATTAGTGATGTTGAGCACTGTTTCGTGTACCTATTAGCCATATAAGTCTTCTTTGGAAAAAATTCTATTCAGATCCTCTG